TTTAGGGAGCATTCATTTTTTAGCTGGGGGGGTGGGCCGGAGGAATTTGGGGGTGGGTCAGCAAATTTTGACATGCTTCAAAGGGGTGGGTCTTTTTATAGTTTTGGTATAAATGGAGGGGGTCATAAAAATAATCAGTGAAAAAGTCACCAATATAATTTTATAGAATTTGGAAATATTTGGATGAAGAATGGTAAAAAGATCTAGAACTATCAACTATCCTGTCATCTTTAACAATGAAGCAAAATTCATTTGACGCTCTGTTCACACAGTCCATAGGTAAACATTTCCATGACGTTTGTCAATTGACCTTGTTTTTATCCGTTTTTGTTTGAAAACATGAATGAAAGAAAACGCAGGACCATAGCATGATTTCAAAATCATGCTTGGTTTCAAGCTCTGCATGCATTTCATCATGACCTTTATCAATTTTAAGCTTTATTAATTTTAAGCGGCTACATTACAAACATTCCAACCGTCCCGGTTTACCCGGTACTGTCCCGGTTTGGACTATGTTGTCCCGGGGTCCCGGTTTTCTCCTTATTGTCCCGGTTTCTGTAGTATTTTAATAGTTGTATTCTTCAAATAAGGCTCATGTGACAAATATTAATGAAATTCGTTTGGTCAATACATATTAATGAAATGGGAGCTTCTAGTTGCCCCAAACAATTACCGAGTTTGTCGCCGATCGTTTTAATTCTCGTGACATACGTTGTTTTGACAATTTAGTGTTCGCTTTCAATTCCTATTCATTTTGCCAGGGTTGCATGAAGTAAAGCAGCGTAACAGAAGCGGGCGCAATAATCACAGGCTCTTGAATACGAGAGGTCACAGTTCAAAAGACCAGTATTAAAACAAAACAATTTCGCCAGTACAGTACTTCAATGAAATTAAAGCTTGTTGAGAAGATGTTATACTACTTATGGGTTTCAACATTAGTGTAATCATGGATAGGTGTAATAAACTAGTTTTTGTAGCATCCACAGTGAATTTATTGTTTAATTCGAACTCAAGACTCAAGTCAGCCAATTTTAACACTAACCCAAATAGACACCGCATCAATGAGAAAAGCGCGGCATTTATTTGAGCGAGGCGTTTATTCAAGGGAGGCGCTTATTTAAGTAAAATGGGAAAATTGGTAAGTGTCCCGGTTTTGAGGACTCCGAGGTTGGAATGTCTGACATTATCCATGACAAACTGCAAAGAATGAAGATAGTACCCACAGTTTCCTTCAACTTATCCTAGTTATCCAATATATAGTTAATTAAATACGCGTTCGCCCATTTAGTACTACCAAATTGTCAATTTTGACATACTAAAACGCTGTTTTCTGACCATCAGATTTCTGTCAAATCTTCCCCAAAGTCCAGGAAATGGCATTTCAGAGACTCTAGATTTAAAATTTCCTCGGGCCTTCGGCCCTCGCTTTCAGCCCCCCCAATCAAAAAGAGCTTCCTACAGCCCTGAAACGCCACAGAAATGACACCGTGTAGATTATTAATAGTTAGGATGAGGGGTCAAAAATTTTTCAGTAAAAAAATAGGGGGTCATAACTTTTCATCAACTTTTCTCTTGGGGGTTTCAAGTTTTAGCATGGAATTAGACATCAGTTCCTCCGGCCCACCCCCCAGCTAAAAAATGAATGCTCCCTTAAATGGGTTAAATAGCTTATATAGATCTGCTTAATTGTGTCTATAATAAGTTACAAGTTCCACTGAGTTGCAATCCACCCTATTTTTTTATACACCAGACTATGTTACTCATCAAGGGTTCAGAGCATTCAGGCACTTAAATTAATGAGTTAAACAACTTTGGAAATGGTCGTTATTAAATTAATTGTCATACATTTTACTGTTCCTATACTTATTTATCATTGATACAATCGATCGTGACATATCAAAGTATGTAAACTGCTCAATTATCAAAGAAATTAGTTCTATCGAGCGACTGCCCAAAATTAACCCGATATATTTACCTGATTTTTGTCTTTCAATTATGAATGATTTGTAAATATGGAACTCCTAACATATTGTTCCATTCCATAAGACTGATAAGAGGACTACTGACTTTCAATATTTTCAATAAGATACATGTATAATTTGTGTATTAAGCAGCTCCTGCATGCTTAATGATCGAGCACCTTCTTGTAGCCAGATCTCATCTGAAGGATTAGCCAGACTGTAGCTGTTTGTACTGTGTGTCTGTTAATATTGTAGGTCTATTTTTGTTTTTGTATTTCCATTGTTTCAACATCCAATTGAATATTCACATCAATTCATCTGTGCTTCCTAAACATTGGTAAAAAAAGACATTTCTGTAGATTGGACCAAAAAAAATATGTGGGTTTCCAGTTTCCTCTTGTAAAAATTTAGGTAGGGTAGGTCGGTTTAAACTTTTGTTTTAAACTTTTCTTTTAATTTTCCTAACAACCGGACGCCATTTTGTTAGTCAGTGTTTCCACATCCAAACATAAATTTCCCTAATATTGCCACAAATTTTCATTTTCCACAAACATTTTCCTCTAAGTGGAAACACTTACAAGCGTGAAAAAATTTTCAATATTGCATACAAACGTGTAAAAAGTTGTTTAAGGCAAGTTACCACTCAACAGTAGACTTTCAAAATGTACTAAAAGGGGGGGGGGGGGTATTTCCCCAGAGGGGTAGCTGGCCGGCGGTTAGGGTGTGGGGGGTTAAGGGTTAGAGGTTAGGATTAGGGTTTGGATTAGGATTAACATTTGGATTAATTGTAGACCATTACAACCCAATACTTTATTGCATACAATGGCATTACAACGCCAATAAATTATTGGTTACAACGTGCGGAACGGCTGGTATTTCGGTATTTTCCTTAAAAAATTGCGGTATTACGATATTGGAAATCTTGCGGTATTTGCAATTTTGGACTCAAAAACTGCGGTTATAGAGAAAATTTGCTTGCGGTATTACGGTATTGAATACCCCCAATGTCCCCCTCTAAATAGAGGACAAAGCAAATTAAAACTATAGTGAAGATACTGTCATATAACAGAAAACATTACTTACTGGATTCACAGTATATTTTGTAACGAGGCGGTTTGCTGTCACCATAACCTCATTGTGGAACCATTAAAAAACATCACTTTTAGTGCTGGGCATTCTTTATATTTCATCAAGAAGTGCTGTCGCTGCCAAATTAACATCCTTATGCAATCCCATTGTTCCTACAATGAATAGATATATTTTTGTGTAATGCTAGAGATGTGATGTGACAAACTGCACCTATGTACATGTGTACCGGTACCGTAATAATCCACCCACAAAATATAGAGGGCACTCGATTTTTTAGTTATCTGAGAAATGAAAACCGGTTTCAAAAAGAAAACCGAACAAAACCGAAAAATCTGTTAACCACTCAAGCCTACTGTCCGGTTTATTTCGTCTTTTTTAAAGCATAAAGAAAATGTAGGGCAAAGGTTAATTTAAATTAACAAATATTTTGAACTACTTTCAGACATTCCAACTCTCCCAATTTTACGGTCGAGTCTCCCAAATATTCATGTAATCTCCTGGTCTTCCAATTTTTATCATATTCTCCAGATTTTTCAGAGTATTCAGGAAAATTATATCGTAAAAAATCATAAACACACTGTTTTTTATAGCAATATTATATAAATCTGTCTTGACCTTTTTACGAAGTTTAACTTTATGGCAATTAATTTATAGGATCACTTATAACAACATCTTCCCAAAATACAGGAAATGCCATTTCAGAAGACTTAATTTTTATTATTTTCCCCCAGAAGAATTAGATTTCAATTCACTGAACTATCGCCCTAAATTTTACCTTCAGTAGTTGGAATGTCTGTACTTTATAATTGCTGTTTTATTAGTGCACAAATACTGCCCAAAACAGCGCAACCGTTTGCCTGTTTCTAAAGATTTTCATCAAAATAGAAAAGGTTCATTTTAATACAGGCTCGAATCAGTTGAATCGATTCTTGTACTTACCCACTGCATGCAGATTGTAGGACACTTGACATCGAGGCATTCGCGGTTCCCCATCATTTTTTTTTGACAAGTGAAGTGTTCATAATAGCATCCTTGTCAATCTACACTAACAGTGACTCGGTAAGGGGTAAAACTAACGCAGAGAATGTTCCTGAAAGCTGAACAACTATGAATTCCAGCTGCCATTCGCTACAATGGCGACAGAGCCATAATCGAAATTCTCGGCATTCTCTTGTATGTTCTTACCAGCACAGCCGTTTCTTTACCGTTCTTTACCTATTCCAGTCTTGTTCCACAATAGTTCTTCACTTTAAGCGCAAAAAATCTTGTAGAAACCCTTCGCAAACTACCAGATGGCAAAGGATTAATATTTCACTTTCAACAGGACTCAGGCGCAGCCATTCGACACACTTCGTGGCAAGTTTTCGAAAACTACAGTACCACACCTGTTTAAATAACCATACCTGGGGGCGGGGCGAAGCCGATACGGGACAGCTCGTGAACACTCGTGAGGCGTGACGTCATATAGTCTTTTCACCCAAAATGGGGTAGTTCCTCGGGTAGAGGAGAAGTGATCACGTGATCGGCTAGTTGTGTTGTTTGTGGCGTCAGATATAACCAAATCCCTATCTCTAAGCCTAATCCTTACCCTAACCCTCACCCTAACCCTCACCCT